CTTGTGCAGATCCGACAGGTTAACCGAATTTACTACTTGGTCGGTTACACCCTAGGGGCTCTCAACTCTCAAGATCCCGTCACAGGAGGCGGCAAGTACGACTTAAAGGACAACACAAAGGCAAGGGAACACACCCGCAAGGCAACCCCACGGCCAGATCCACGATCTAGGCCCCGGATCCATAAGCTCGAATATTCGCTTAGGATACGGAACCATCCACGGACGCAGAGTGAAGATTTTCCACTGCTGCTCCACCCCATCCCCACGTCTCGCCAAGACACTCAAGCTTCACCACTTGAACTCTTCGGAAGTTACCGAGAGAGCAGATCCCGCCCTACCGACGGGTACACAAGGTGAGGAAAGTTCAGCAGAACACGGATCATCGGGGGACCCCCTCCGTTAGTCGGTGTCTGGGCGCAGTTGGTAAGTTGGATCTGGCAATCTCGCAGATTTTGCTGATCCCGCTACACCACACCCTCGAATAGCTGCTATCCATGGGCAAGCGAGAGAGGGCGAAAAGGTGGAGAAAGGTTCCCGCATCAACCTGGATAAGCCGTCGCTGCTGTCAACGATGGCATGCCACTAAGGAAAGCATCGCAGGCATACGGGGTTTCACGCGAGCCTCTTCGACTTCGCCACATGGGCCTTGTACCTCTCGACGCATGTAGTGGACCTCAACACGTGTATATTTCGGACGGCGGCAACCAGGGAGTACTCGAGATTATCCGGTATCGATCGAGCCCTCCATGGAATGTATGCTGGTGTTGATGAACTACGATGTATGCTGCGTGAGGCAGCTGAACAGACACGTCTACTACACGATGACTTTCCCAACGACAAGTATATTTCGCGATGGATAGCAGCTCACCCGAAGATATCGAGGCGTAAGTCGCAACTTCTTGATGCTAAACGCGCGGTGTCGTCAACGTCTGATGCTGTCATGAGGTACTTTAGCAATCTGCAGGAGGAGTTAAAGAAATTGGATATCTTGGACAAACCTGAACGCATTTGGAATTGTGATGAGACCGGCATTTGCCCACAAGGATGCGGTGGAGAGCGCGTTATCTGTCCAAAGGGTCTTAGAGCGAACATCCAGGGCTAGTGACCGAGAAAATACTAGTATAATGGCTTGTATAAGCGCTTCTGTGCGAGAAATCCACCAATGTATATCTTCGAGGGCAAGAACAGAAAGCCGATATGGATGGCGGGGGCGGAGCCAACAGCTCGCTGTGCAATGAGTGATAGCCCAAACATTAACGGGAAGCTGTTTCAGCACTGGTTTAAATGGTTTGTCGGTCAGTTGCCCCCTGAACGTCCTCAACTCCTGTTGCTGGACGGCCATTTCGGCCATATTCAGATTGAAGCTGTGAAATAAGGCACCGATCGCGGCGTTCGCCTATTTGTTTTACCTGCACACACCTCACATTTCCTCCAGCCACTGGACGTGTCCGTGTTTGGTTCCTTCAAGCATCCTCATCTTCGCTCCATACAACGGCCGCCGTCCGCTGAGCTGGATCCGCATCTCGTCAGGGAAACAAAGTGTCCCATCCGCCAGATCCAACCTCACTCCGGCCGGCACCATGAAATCTATCCCAAGGATGGCGTCTTGACCAGCGAGATCCCCAACCCAAATGTCAAACCAATACACCAAACAACCTGCCAGCGTGATCTTGATCCGCGTTCTCCCGTTCGTACGATACACGCCTTCACCAATCCCAACACAATCTTGGATCCGACTCCCATCCACTTGGCACCCAACCTTACGAGCAAAGGCGGTATCCAGTATAGACACCTTGGCACCACTATCTAGGAGTAGGATTGCTTTTTCATTGTTGATCTTGCCCCCTACCTTGGCTTGTCTGAACCACTTTCCTGGGGCATGGTACTTCCAGTATCCACGGGACTCCCCTGTTAGCAGATCCATGGATCCAACATCCTCAGATCCACAGGATCCAGTGACCAGACAGACCTTAGGTGGATCTGCAGTGACCTCGCCCTTGGTAGGCTCAAACCATCGACCATGTTGGCGTTTCTCCCAATAACCACGCGCCTCTCCCCTTTGTAGATCCAGGGTTGAAGAGACTTCGGATCTGGCAAACTCATCCACTTGGCGCAAACTAGAGATCTTGGCAACTGGCACTTCATGTAGATCACGTGTATTATCGACTTGATCTAGGGTCCTGCTACCTGGATATAGCGATGTCTTGTTCACAAATGCATAAATGCAGTACCTAGAACGCTCGGCTCGTACCGGATTCAAACCCGGCGAGCGTCCTAGTTTAACATCTTCTCGGCCACTTCCGGCAACATCCCTCGGTGCTTGGCTGGATCAAACCATTGGCGGATCTGGTTGTAGAATTCTTCCATCGGGCACTTGCCGACGTCGTGAATCTCGCCACACCCGCGACACACGTAGAAGCAATGATCCCCGGGATGACCTTTCTTGCCACACTTCTCACAGACCAGATGTTTCCAGCATCCAGATTCAGTGTGCTTCCGGGATCCACACTGTGAACACCTGACTTGTGCTGCCCCGTCCATGAGATCTCGGGATCTGTACATCCCACGGTCCCCGGTCCCGGGTACGGTATCCCCCGGTCGAGAGCTGTCTCCTGTCTTCGCCGTTCGATCGTTGGACGCAGTGAGACAGATTTGACGGTAATCTTCGGGGTCAGAGTCCGAACCGTCGGATCCTGATTCAGTTCCTGAGTCGGGTGCCGTGACTTGGTGGACACGTCGAGCTGGGGCCGTAGGCGTCGGAGCCTTTTGGCGATACTTGCCGGAACCGACCGCCGCCTTCTTCGGGCGGTGTTTCGCGCGATCCACCACCCGCAGCACTTCCTCAAGCTCGCTTCTCCTCTTGCTCTAGGAAGCTCGTAACAGGGTCAGCCTGTCGGCCAGACTCTCTTCTGATCTCGCCCACCGTCTCGATGAAATGATCCACG